GACACATTGATATATATATATATATTGATAGGTACCTCATTAACATAAATCCAAGCAAATAAATAATATGCATTGTTTCTATGTAGAACAGAGCATTATCTCTACTGAATTAGTTCAGGAAGAGTTTATATATTACCAAAAAAAAACTACTTTACAAAATGAACCAAATTTAATATTCTCAAAGGTTATATAAAGCTTTTATGACATACCATCCTCTGACATTCCAGGTTCTACACCAGTTATACCAACACCTCCATGATCTAATGTTTTTTTCAACTTTTCATTTTCTTCTCTCAACTCTCGTATAAGTTTTTCTGTTGGATCTTCATTAATTGTTGCCACTGTCTTAATTTGTTTAGCTCGGTCAGCTAAGTTCACACATAAAAATATTACTTTCTGAGATTCACATCAAATTACCAGCATATTACAGAACTATTTGCAGTACAAGAAACACACACACTAATAGATAAATCTAAACCTCAGCTGATTTTGCATTTAAAAGAAACATTATATAAATAAATTTTAGATTCGATGGGTTAAACTCATTAAGCTAAAGATCAAAACTTGAGTTGAAAGTAAAGAACAACTTACATTTTTTTATTAACCTATAACAAGAAAAGATCAAAGTTATGAATAAAATATTTATAAATACTGATAATGAAAGTAACTAAAATAACAAAAAGTCACAAATATATATATACATACTACCACATTAGAACTCCAAAAATTCAAAAAATTAATCGTTAGTCTCATAATTGGCAAAATCAATAAAAATATCTTCTCAGTCACCAAATTTGAGATTTTACAAAAGTACTTATTTAAATCAAGTAAAATATTTTTACAATTACTAAATCTAAACAACAAACCTATAAGTCACTTAGTTGTAAATTGAAATTGTTATAATTAACACAGAATATTTCATAGCTACAAAATCCAAAAATACACACATTGGAAATAATGAATAAAAATCTGAAAATAGTAAATCTTGCATTTAAATTATTGAAATCAGCAACTAATTTTAAATTGAACCATAGAAGATCAGTTACAAAAAATTACCTCTAGGATGATTGGAAATATTACCATATTTTTTATTTCTGTAATTATTGATAGATATAACTTTATTTGGGTATATTCAGGTAAATGTTTCTAAATTTTCATACAGGTGTTTTGTATGTAGTTAACAACATTCTTGTAAGCTGAAGGTAGCAAGGTCATACACTTTCTCCATTCTCTACCGATGACAAAGATTACGTGTCCCAACAATTGCTCTGTAGGACTTATACTTGCTGGGTTCTGTTTGTGTGTGTCATGCTCTCTTGAAGTGAGAACATACTCATTTAAAGTGGACAGCACAGAGACTTGTAAAAGCTAATATGAGTTATGGATTTATCTCTCTTGAACATGTATATAAGGATGAACATTGACACAGGTGATATAAGGATTTTGGGACACTGCACTAGGACCATGGTTTGAATTAACAGTGTGGTATTTTCATCACTCCTGATATTATCTCTGGCATAATGGTACAGACATTTTGTTTTCAACCTGTTCTTATGCCCTAGAAGCCAGTTGAAAATTACCACAAATATATAAAAAACAGCCAGTAGAAATAAAATATATTTGTTGAGTTCAAACTCACACATAACTTGTGAATAAAGATTTTGTTTAGTTGTTCATTAATGTTTGGTTATTTTTCTTGCCGTCAGTGTTCATTTTATTCTCAGCAAAATATTCCTGGAACCTGCTGTACTGCAGTTGTATATATGTTGGATATCAGTTCTCTTGAATACCACATCTCTCTATTAAATCTACAATTGCATGTAATTAATCTTTAACTATTATCAATTACTTGTTTCATTACAAAATGTATGTAGAAAATATTACATTAAGAATAAAACTACTTGTATCAAAACACCTATAATTTCAAAGAGAATGAGTTCTCTTTAATTATCGGTGCAATAATGTAGTACACTGTCCTCTTATAGTGAAGTGATAATTAGAAGGTTTAATTGAATGTATACATTCATAGCTTGGTGGGTAACTAAAGGAGTTTATTGTAATAGTATTTCTATGTGGTGTAGAAACATTGTAATGAGATATATGCTCAAAGTAAACTTTAGAGATATGGATAGTAAATGGTGATTTAAAAAAGTCATGTATTTATAGGACAGGAATTTTGCTCCCTATCCAAATTTATGTTTTTTACATAAAAATGTTCACTTCACATAATGTTCACACTCAGCATTCACATTTCATCTTCAGTCAGTCTGATTCTTCAGAAGTGCTGTCAACGATTATTTCTGTAACCTGAAGAACCTTAGGTATTAAATTTGATTTTGTGAGCTTGCATTCCTTGTGCAGTTGAAACCTAGGAATCACATAACTGATGTTATATCTGCACAGCACAACATTATTCTGGCAAATATATGACACAGGAAATGACAGACTAGTATAGGTTGGGGAGGAGGTACTTCCGACTGTTATGTTGAATCTGGAGAGAATACACCTTACTTGAAACAAGGAAGGACTGAATCTTGGCATGAGGAAAATCATACCTTTCACTACTGACCCATACATCATACAGTCCATTCTTATATGATACTGCCTACTTCAGCCGGTATACACCCAGTGTCAATAATGGCAAACATTCTTCAGTCATCTGTGGGAAAGTCCAAGGCCACATCACAATTTTTTTCTTTTTTTCCTCATCTAAATTTTTTCACTGAAATATTTGAACTCCACAATCCATTGTAATGTGTTTGGTTGTTTCACTGGTTTGAACATGTATTGTATGACAGTATAATCATTTTAAATTTAATGACAGCAAGACACTAGCTGTTTCAAATAGCACTGAAAATGCTCACACAATCTCCTATGAAAAGAATTTGTAAATTGATAAATACCATGTCCAGTAGCTTCCATTGTTTTATGTAAACATTTGTGGCTTCTACCAATCTGCATTTTGGTGAAAAGCCTTGAAAGATTGGAATTCCTCAAAAAAATTGGTGGTTAAACTTCTTTTCTTTTACATCACTTTGGAATATATGGTAAGCATGTTTCATCATTTCTTTGTCATGAAAAGATATGAACCAAAAACCAACATAATGTACCCATCAGTGGATACAACCGTCATAGGTTTGAATTCTCCAGCTATGACTTATTAATTTTGTATTTAATACAAATATTACAATAATTTAAATTTTCAATTAAGTTGCATGAAAAAACTTTAGTAAATTTGTCTAAATAAAACAAAGATGTAAAATATTGTTACCTATAAGCTTAATTATTGTACAGTTTCCTTTGTATCTAATTGTAACTGCTTGATAACAAGTTATGGGTGTAAGTGCCAAGTTAGCAGGGAAAAGGAGCATTTGCCATGTACTCCAATGTATATGGAGTACATGTACATGACATTATACTAATAGTTGTACATACACAGTGATTCATCAATTTCTACAGGTGGACATCATTGTTTTCATAGTGTGATCATGTGATTTTTCAAATTAAAAACAAAATCGTGTGAAGACCCAAGTGCATGGAATACATTATAATTAGTGATCAAGTTTTTAAGTTAAAGTTCCCTTAAATGAGTTGTTCATTTTACTTTTATTATTTTAAATTGAATATTATCCAAAAACTATAAGTGGATAACTTCACTAATTGGTGAATCTCAGCAATAACCCACTCACAAACAAAGAGTTATATTTGTTTTTATTTATACTGATATCTTATTGTTCTCCTAATACATAATTCATTTGTGAGCTCTTTTTTAATAGCAATGTTAGTTTATGTTTTTATTTTGTGTAAGTGTAACTGTAAGGAATGAATGGATCATAATTGTGTTTTTAACTTGATTATACAATGTTGATTTTTTTATTTGTGCAAGAGATAAATAAAGTGAAAGAAGAGTTCCCCCAAAAGTTCTTGATAAGTCAGTAGCTATGGTTTTCTTTAACATAATTGAAAACAGTTTTATACAAACAGCCAAATAAACAGAAGCAAGAAACAATCTCACATTTACCTGCAAACATACTTGAACTTTCAGTAGTGCATGGTATCATTTTTCTGTAGCTCTCACTGTGGAAATCTTTCCAGAAGGTATTTTTAAGATAGCAGAGAAAATTATATGTGACCCCAAATATTATGAATTACATTTGTAAAACATCAAAAAGTAAAAAAGAACATACCATATCTCAATGTTGACAATGTCTCCTCATAATTGATATCTGCTGGGCTAATAGCTGCAATCTAATACAAATAAGAATTTTAGCTACGAGCCTACTAAACATTTAATCTTGTCAAACACAAACTTGTAAAAGAAGAAAAACAGGAGTATTACTGCACAAAAGAATGGCAATTCAAAGAAAATTATTCTTAATTGATTGTTTTTTTTTTAGGGTAAAGTTACACACTGGGCTATCTGTTGGGAAATTACACCCCAAATTTTAGCACTGTAAGTCCATAAATCCACAAGAGGACAACAACTACAAACATATATCAAAAGCTAATAAAACCTCTAAATCTCAGAACAGAGATAATTTAAAAAGTTAACAAGTTTGTACTCTTTTTTAACTCTAAACTATAACTTTGCATAAAAAAAGGTGTAACATACAAGCTATTAAAATTACTTCCTGTCCTAAAATTTTGGCTCTTCCCTATACAAATATCATATAAACACCACAACTGCTGGATTTTGTTCCTTTTACTTATGTTAACAATGATACATACTGACAAAAGTATTTGTGTTGGCAATTAAAATACTTTTAATAACACACACAAAAAAAAACAAGTAATACTTATTGTGAACTTTAAATGGCACTTATGATCTAGTTTTCAAAACTCATTAAATATGGAAGAAAATGCTTCTAATTTACATTATAATCATTATATTGTTTTAAATTTCTAAATCCTTAGTGATTATGAATGCCATATATTTGTCTTATATGGTATAAAAAGACATTTTTAGTAAAAACACTTTTAACAAAAATTTATCATCTGATATATAGTTTAAAATTTATAAATCTCATAATGAATAATACTACAAGAAAATGATTGGCTCTCAAACTTTCTATCAATTTATGTCATCATATTCTTTTTTTGTGTGTAAATTAGCCCACCTGGAAGTATCTGCTACAATTATATTAAATATTATTATAAAATCCACTTTAAAAAATTTCATTTGTAAAAATTTGAGCTTGAAAAGTTTAAATTAGCTAGTATTTTATGTACTGAAACTTTCTCATTAAGAAAGAATGAGAATTTTAATCTCTCTTAAAAGTTTATCTGTAGGTAAACACAAAGCTACACAATGGGCTATCTATGTTGTGCCCCCCACAGGTATCAAAACCTGGTTTTTAACATTATAAGCCCACTGACCTACTACTGAGTCATTGGGGGGGGGCTCTCTTAACCCATTCCATGTCAGGCTCTTTTTTTAGGAAATGAGCTCAAAAAAGTCAGGTTTTTTATTTTACTTTTTTGATGGCCTATTGTAATACATGATGACATGTAAATAAATTTGGGCAAATAATTAAAAATACAACATAAAATGGTTTGCCCAAATTAACTTGAGTAAATCTTTTTTTTTAAATGTGGAGGGTTCCTGAGTTATTTTGGGTAAATCACGGATGAGGTTAAAAAAGGTAAGTTACATCTTTGATACTTGTCCTGTATAATTCAGCCAACAGTGAGAAGATTTTACATGACATTAATGAATTCATTTTATTCACTCTGAAAAAAAGCCGAAATTAATAATGATCAAGTCAGTCAAGTAATAATCACTTGTTTAATTATTAGTTATTTAGAAAATAGGTTCAACAGTGTGATAAAAATTTTTGTTTTAGATTTTAAACATTAAGATTTGTCTATACAGTGTGAACTTTTCAGAAACTTATATGACCATCATCTATTTTGACTTTTTTTAGGATAATTCTGATTTTGGAACAATTAGCACAAACCTAGTTTACACCTTACCATTACAGTTTTGCTGTTCCCTCCAAGAGCATTCATTAAAAGCCGAGTTAGAGCAGAATCTCGATAAGGCACTAGAAAAATATGCATATCATTTATGGATATGTGTTTTGAACTAAAACAATTAAAATATGATGCTTATATAAGTAATACATTTTTTTAATTAGATAGATATCTAGAATATTTTGTCTTGATAATTCTATCACAGTCTTAGAAGCACATTACAGTATAACAGGTCATAGAAAATAAAAACATTTGTATTTCTCAAAAAATTGAAAAATCACTAAATTGATGATCATACTATAACAGAATTGTAACCTATATCAATACAACAACAACAAAAAAATTGTGTACGTGAATATGGAATTTAAATTAATTTTCAAAACGGTGTAAATATTTAAAACAATTCAATTCAATTACAATATCACCAAATAACTTTAACTTAACTCAAAAGCAGTTAAATATGATCAAACTCCACAATTACTGTTAATGATTTTAACACTCATGTTTATTTGCCAACGAAAAGGTAGATATTAAAAAACCAAGCTGCACACAATAAGACATTTACCACAAGAAATTGTCTTTGTTTACTCATTTGTTTTTAATACATATGTACAATATCACAAAATTATGTAAAGGTAAGATTCCAGACCTAATTCTAATCCTGTATCAGAGTTTTGATCCCAAGTGTTTCGTTAATGTATATATAAACACCATATATTTAAGTCTCATATTCAATAACAAGTATTCAATAGTTGTTCAGCAAAACATAAGCACAGTGCAAATCATTTATCCTCAGTTGAAATCATATTGTTCTTACCTAAGCAAATACTGACTCTCTCATTTCAGAAACAAACCTCGCTTTAAATCAAGCTGTGCTTAAAAATTTTCATTCTCTGTAGCTAAACACTCATAAAATTGGACAAATATTCTGAAATATTTCTGTTTCATGTAACAGTAATAGAGCAGTCTCATATCTAAATTTTTCAAATATGAATTGTTTACTATAAAAGAGTATGCATACTAAATAATAAACATTTGTAAGGTATAAGTTATTTTCTTTGGGAATGGTCTTTGAACTCTCATATTTAAATTTTCAAATAAAAGATAAGAATATTGAATGTTTGGATAGCCTTAAAATGAGAAGAAAATAATTTTTGTATTCCATTGCAACTTCCAGACATAACATATTTGGCAAGGTGTTTATGAAGCAAATCCTAAAGGTGTTCATGAAGCAATTCCTAAAATGATGAATTTCTTTACCTCTAGTATTTTTCCCAGAAGATTTTTCAGCAAGAGCATGAATACAGTTTCCTAAGCAAGACAGTGATTGGTTGATTGCTGCTCCCTCCTTCAGTCTATCACCTGTTGCTCCAGTACTAGATACTCGCTCACTGAATAGAACGGCAATATATGTTCAATACACTGTTAACAACATCAAAAGAAAAACAGAACTCTGATAATTTTTAAAGACTGAAATGGACAATAATTCAAAGTTCTTACCTTCCAGCCAAGTCAACAAGATTAACCACTGATGTCTTAGCTGTTTCTTGTCCTGCTGCATTTTTAGCCTTCTGTATCAGTGTAATGCCAACAATGGTATGAGCTCGGCTGAATAGTTCAGATACAATATTTAAGAGATTAGTTTTATTTAGATGTAAATAATTAAAACTATTCACAGTTACTACATATTACACTAAAATAAATTTATTTCTATCAACAGTGGTGGGATAGCAATATTGTAAAAAGACAAAGTTCACAGAAAAAACAAAGCAAATAAAACATTGCTGCAGATTATAGAGAAATTTAACACCATTTATAACATTACTAAATTTATTAAAGTAATAATAAGTTTCTTTTTACATTTAGCATAATAAAAAATCATCACCCTTCACAAGCCCATAAAGTGTGCATCACTTGCAGGCCAGTTAATAGTTTCAATGAATATAAAGTTCATGGCCCTAGCTAAGTTCATGATATGAAAACCCATAAAACAACACTGTTAATGAATTGTTAAAACCTGCACTGACACTTTAATAAAAAAACAAACTTAAAATTTCTCTATGGGTAACAAGATTAGCAAAACTGTCATAAACCAAAATTTAACATTTTTCTTAGCTGAAAATATATTTCAGATAGTTACTCACCTCTCTGCACAACAAAAGGCTATTATCTCGTGCCACTGCCAAGATTTGAATGAATCTCTTCCACACTTACACATAATCACATGTACTGTGCCAGTCTATGATGTAATCATCATCAGACTGTAGCCCTCCACAAATACAAAAGTGACATATCCTCCATGCCCAGCATTAGAACAAAGGCTCATTCTTGATGAGGCAAAATAAATTCACTGGAAATTGGGAGGAAGGGTAGGAGGTTGTACAGAAAAGTGATGTGGCTATGTGAAATATAATTTTTGGTAAGGAAAATGTTAATTTCAAAAATGTTTACTCACCTCTTTGCATAACAAAGAGCTAGAATCCCACAATGATAAGATGGTGGAGACGCCAGTGCATATAAGGAAATTATAAAGATGAACTCCTTTCAGAAAATATAGCACTAGAAAGGCAAATCCATCAAGTGTGTTACCCACTAGAAGCAGGGGGGAGCCTAGTGAGGGATCCTTGGTGGAAGACAGCATCCATCTCATGCAAGGAATACTCTTCACCCAATAGATGTGGTATAGCAAAAGATATTGTCAAAAAAATCTTTCATGGTGCTAAAGTGTTACATGGATGGTCAGGATGAGAAATTGCTCAATTGGCTATTATCTTTCAGGTGGTCAGTTGGGCATGATTGTGTAGTGTGGCTAGGGTGATAAATCAGGCTGTATCATACTAAAGAAATATTTACATGAAATTTCTTATGCAAGAATTGAGTGCAAGGAGAAAATATTCCAGACCTGCATCCCAAGGAGCACACAATATCCATCCATTTGGCCTAGCTCACAGGAAAATAGTTGATTCATAATGTAGTGGGGTGGTCTGTATTACACTTCCAAGTGATACCCTAGCCCTTATTCTCATTGAAAAGTGTATCCACTTGGTCTCATTCAAGTGGGATTACACCAACCCAATGGGGAACTCACCATATCTAGTTCCCAATCTGCTTGGGACTGGGAAAGCAGAAGTTCTTCCTTACTTTACTAGAATAAAACAAGAGGGAGGAATTTGTTGGGAGGGAAGAATGCCAGAGAGGAGCTCCGACCAAAGGAATCATCACCTTTGCAAAAAGTCCCACACTGATATATTGTGCAATTTGTTACCCTGAATAGGGATGGCAGACACTATTCAAGTGTTGTTTGTCTTGCAAAATACAGCCCGGAAGGGAAAATATACATACACTGATGGAGTAGTCTTGCAGAAAACCATATCTCAACAGTGGACACTGAGCAGAAGCAGATAGGCTAAACACTTTCTATTACTCCCTAACTCAATGCAGGTTCCTGGAGAGAGAGAGAGAGGTATTCCTCATGAGACTTCACTGGACAGTTGGTGGGTTCACTGTTTCTAGTAGATATACATTGAAGTATAATAACGGAAATGAAAAAGCTGTAAAAAAACAAAATAACCAACTCATCTTAACAGAGTCTCTGAGAATACTGGAAAATGGCAATTGGAGGAAGACGAAACCCAGGATAGAGAAAACCACAATGTGGTGTAAGCAATGAGCTGGAGATAATCCACATCTCTGCCTGCAAGATCTCATACAGGAGATGTTGATGAATAGATGCAAGTGATGTCATGAGATGACAAACTTGATGGGTGGAAATATGAAAAATACGAATAGTGTTATCACCCATAGAAGAATAAACTAGCTAGATGGGATGTATAGTCCAACTGTTCAAAGTGAAAGAGGATAACTTACTAGAGGAAGAGTAATCCCACCTCAAAAAAATACATTGTCTAGAGGTTCCTGCCAACATTTTTATTAACTATTTTGATGGATGACAGATGTTTCTGTTTATTTGTATTGTTGAGTCAGCGAGGTCACGTGACTAGTATCACGCCACTTCTCTTGAACCTTCGTGAATTTTCGGGAGACTACTAGATATATGTTAGTCTGGTATATATATATAAGATGCTCACAATGTGACGGCAACAGTGTAATGAGTAATTGAATGTATGCGGACAAAATATTGTTGGCCTCGTGAGACGTGCAATTATAGTGTTGTTATAGAGCGACTGTTGAAATTAAGTGTATCGTAAAGTTGTATTCGGAAAGAATAAACCAGTTTTATTTAAGAAAGGACTTGTGTCGCTAAAGTTTTGTCGGAACGAAGTTACGGAAATCAATTAACAACGGAGACGTAACAAATTGGTGTCAGAGAGTGGGATAAAAAAAATGGAAACGTGAAGCGACAAATCAAACTACAGCATAGCAGACTTGATGGCAGCAATACAAGAGCACCAAAAGAAACAAGAAGAACGAGAAAAGAAACAAGAAGAGGAGAGATTACAACAGCTGTTGGAGGAAAAAGAAAAGAAACAAGAAGAAATATTACAGAAGTGGCAAGAAAACCTACAACAATGGCAGCTCGAACAACAAAATAAACAAGAGAGATTACAGCAGTTGTTAGCTTCTTGTTTCTTTTCTTTTTCCTAAAAGATTACAGCAGTGGCAAGAAAACCTACAACAATGGCAGCTCGAACAGCAAAATAAACAAGAAGAGAAATTACAGCAGTTGTTGGAGGAGAAAGAAAATAAACAAGAAGAGAAATTACAGTAGTTGTTGGAGGAAAAGCAAAGAAACAAGAAGAGAGACAACAGCAGTTGCAAGAAAACCTGCAACAGTGGCAGTTGGAACAGCAAAATAAACAAGAAGATAAATTACAGCAGTTGTTGGAGGAGAAAGAAAATAAACAAGAAGAGAAACTACAACAGTGGCAAGATGTACAAATGGAAAACATTATTAAATTTAAAAGTGAATTAGATACGTTAAAGGATGATCTATTGTCTTTTACACAAGGAGGATACATTAGCCATCGACTTAACCAGCCCCAGACAATGACAAGCCTCTTTCAGACCCTGCAGCTAAACCCTAATGCTGACATATTCAGTCCCATTAGAAGTCACATCTAAGATATGAATGTAAAGTACTAGGAGTGATTCAGTACGAAGGAAGCCACAAGAATACGATGGGAAAGCACTGTGGGAAGCACATAGAGCACAGTTTCAGCTACTGGCAGAGATGAATGGATGGACAGAGGAGCAGAAAGCAGTATATCTGGCAACTAATTATT